TTTTGGAATAAACCTGTTTCAATAGTTTCCCCCCGCATGATACGCTGGTATTTTTTTGAATTTTAGCTAGTCTTTGACGGGTTCCAATGATCATGTATTCTGTTTTTTCAATGTTTAAAGTTAGTTTGTTTGAAAGAAGCCACTGGTGAATATTTTTCATTTCAGAATTTAGTGCTTCCTCCAAATTATTAATGTTATCTGAACATACTGTAAGATTTGTATCATCTGCATACATTGCCGGACAGGATTTATCCAAGCAATTTGGCAGGTCATTGACGTATAATAAAAACAAAAGGGGACCAAGGTTCGATCCCTGGGGAACCCCACAACGTATTTTCCTGGTGGACGATGTTGCACTGTTCACCCTGCAGTATTGCGTTCTGTTATGCAAATAAGAGTTAAACCAATCTAAGGCCTTATTTTGGATTCCATAGATAGATAATTTACTTAGGAGAATTCCGTGATCAACCGTATCAAATGCTTTACATAAGTCCAGAAAAAGTACTCCGTTTATCATCCCAGCATCCATGTTAAGTAACCATGAATCCGTATTTGCTAAAAGGGCTGATGCGGTGGAATAATTTTTACGGAAACCAGACTGACACAAACTCAGAATATTATTTTCAGTTAAAAAGGAATTGAGCTGTGTACAGACAAGTTTCTCAAATAACTTAGCAATAATCGAAAGAATGGAAATCGGTCTATAATTGCCTCGATTTTTTTTGTCACCAGATTTATGAATTGGAGAAATTCTTGCAGTCTTAAGATCATCAGGGAAAATTCCATGTTTGAGTGAAGTATTAAAAATAAATACTAAAAAAGGCGCCACGGCATCACTCGCATCTTTCAAAAGTTTGGCTGGGATATTATCATGTCCAGTTGACTTAGACGTCTTTAATTTCTCCAATGCATTTAACACTTCATTGATATTAATGTTTTCGAAATTGAACTTATGTTGAGTTTTAAATTTCATATAACGTTTAAAATCAGTGTTAGTTTCCGTGATCTGGTTCGACAGATTTGGTCCTATATCAGTAAAATATTCATTGAACAAATCAGCTATAGTTTCATTTTCAGTAATAACCTGTTCGTCTATTTGTAGTACTGATATATTTGTTGATCTAGAATTTTTATTAACTAACTGATTAATATGTTTCCGCATTTGCTTTGTATTATTTCTGTTTCTGTCAACACAGTTTGTGTAATAATCTCGCTTTGCATACATAATTTTTTTGTTAATCTCATTGCGAAGACTTTTGTAAGCATTGTGGCATGCAGTTGAGTTTGTCTTAATAGCTTTCTTCTTGAGATAATCTCGGCGATTCATACTTTTCTTAATTGCATCAGTCAGCCACGGTGCCTTTCTGTAACTATAGCTTTATATAATCGCTCATATCACCAACCTAACTATAACTTTTATATAATCGCTCATATCACCAACAGTCGCTCCTGGGAAGCATTTCACATGTATAATGAACTTGTGGTTGGGGATTGACAACTGGACTCTGTAGCTGTTGGAGCGCTGCACCGGAATCAGTCGCATGCAGGACTGCGGGTGCGATTCCTGCCAGAAGGAACACCTGCCGAAAGTTACATTTTTCGAAGCTGCTCCTGGCTAGGTCTAAATTAATGTATATACAATTTATGCTCGAAATTTCCTTCACTATAACCAACTATTAAGCTTGTCATATCTTAACACTTACGTGAAATCGTTGAAAATTTCCAAACCATGACATTTTTCACCCCATGGTTTTCCTTCACCAAAATTTCTTTCTTCAGGCATATTCATGATAGCCCATTGCATTGCATCCACGCTGTTATCCGGTATTGTGTCAACTGAAGCTCTGTATGCCAGAGGATGTACGATAAAGTTATATCTCATACAAGTATTTGTCTATATAAGAAAATACATGTACGTTAGCCGTTAGGGGTTGTTCATTAATTGTGCCTGGTGTTATACCGAAGAGAAACCAGTTGATGCCCTGCGCGCTCATATACTAATTGCCCGAATGCCTTATATTTTCCGGATATACAGCCCGCGTATTAAAACGTCTGCGGATCGAGGTATTCGAGGAGAGAGTTGTTGAGCGTTCATTTCTGAACTAAGCCAAAGGGGAAAAAGTGAAACGCTGAAAGTATAAAATACCGGGCCTTGCTTGCAGGCCCACTATTCGTCCCTTGGGCCTGCACGCGGGCTATTAGGCATTACAAATACAATATCATATTTCACACTACAGTTTTCACGGATTGTTGTTCGATAAATTTTATATTGATATGACACCAATATGCTTCTCATAAAGTAGTTATTTATTAAAACTACGTTGTGCAGTTTAAGTTATAACCTTTTACCTTGAAATTGTCTTTGGCTCGTTTATATAATTATTCAGATTCAGTATACTATGATCGTGCACGGGAATTCACTTAACGGTACAAATTTCGGATTTTTAGAGTCGTGCACCAAGAAAAACGCATTAAATAAACTAGCAAGAATTTCCAGAGTTAGACACAATGCAAAACCCATAGAAAACAGGTACAATTCGTTCAAAATTTTCACGAAATTGTTTGAAACATTTTGCCCACGAAAGGCCCCGCCATTTTGAAAAGGTCAAGCAGCTCATTAATATTCTATTTTGTGGCTATCGACGACGATTGGAGATCCACTATTGCCGATTCACTATTACCGATCCGTGAAAAATGCAAGCCGAAACTTATACTCGCCTGGGGCACAGGGTGCCCAGGGAGTAAAAATACCTAAGCCCAATACACCACCTAATTTCTCGAAATTCTACGTTTACATCATATTCGTTCTTATTTAAACAAACGATGCTAAATATCAAAGTTCTTGTCCCGTACATTTTTGAGGTATATTAGTAGTAATCAAGCCCGTAGCTGGCTCTCAATTTCTGGGGGGGCACTCACTCGATAAAGAATGTAACCAAACGTTTGAGATGAAAAACTTTTTTTTCCGGAATTAATTCTGGCGACCTCCCCCCCCCGCCCCCCCCCGTCGCCAAAAAAATTTCGGTCAATGTACCATTTTAGGGGTCAAAAATTTTTTCCGGACATAACAATTTTTCAGGACACACTCCATTTTTCCGAAATCTAACAAAATTTTTCAAAAATCACAAAATTTTTCACAAAATTTACAGAATTTTTTTCAAATATTACAATTGGTTCCCAGGCCCTTTATCTCAATTTTTCATACCCGATTTTCGAGTGGGGGGGCACTGGGGGGCACTGTCCCACCGAGTGGGGGGGCATTGCCCCCCCAGGCCCCCCCCCCAGCTACGGGCCTGGTAGTAATATACAAACCGTTCGACCCGGATTTTTGGGGCGGAGGAAGAGCGGAGGTAATTAATATTCAGGTGCTGGAAGGGCGGATGAGGGTGCGGCCCGTGCGCACGCATGACGTCGTAATGATATGCATGAGCAAGTCAAGGGCAAGTCTGGGCCAGACAGTCAATATGACAATAAATTTGCGAGCGTTTTATTTAAATACGCAAATTTATTTTCAACACACAATCGCAATTCGTTTTAATACTTTTAATGAATTTGGTGGCTCTTAAAGGAGTAATAAATTCCCAAGCAGAAATAAAAATCGCGACATATTTTAAACAGAACTTGGCAGTTGCTAAGCCCAAATTAACATGGTTGTCAACGCCGTTGTTATGGTCGATACTTATATATTACAGAGTCACTACCCATGTGGATATACAATTTTTCTTTACTTCACCCAGCAAGCTTGAGACAGAAAAAATTCTAACGAACATAGAGTTATTACAGGTTATGTGCAAAATATATCGAAATTTTATCTTGTTGACATCGAAAACATATACCGTCAAAGTCATTAAGTCTATTAGTATTAACAGTCGTTAAAGGATTGTAGCGGATAGATTAGTACGCGGGCGTAGACCTTAAAATCGGGCGCGTGGCTTAGCGGGCATAAATTTGCACAAGAATTTAGATTTAAAACACATTTATTTCTTCAAAACGTTTATAATATTATGCTTCTATTCTAATATATATCGTCACTTGTTTGATATCCTAAGATATTGTATGATATCCTAAGATACTGAATGATATCCTAGCTAAGATATTGTATGATCTCTTACGATATTGTAAGATATCCTAAGATATTGAAATCCTAAGATATCGATATCCTAAGATATTGATATCATAAGATCCTGTATGATATTTATCATTTATAGACCCGGAGCGAGGGGGACTCGGCGGAATATTACCCAAAGTGATGATATGCCCCAAGTTTTTTGAAAAAATAGTTTTTAAAAAAGTTTTAAAAGAGTTTTAAAATGATATATTATACCGAAAATTAAAAGCCTCCAAGTCGAGAATTAAAAACTTGACACATACCTTCGCCTTCGGCTTCGACCGCTTCGTGAGTACGATGTTTTATTTTCGGATTAACGCAAGTATCGTCGCTTTTCTTTCGAGTCACATATCGTTTGGAATATTAATGACAACATTTTTCAAAGTTTGCTTCAAAATTTTGAAAAAGCCCCAGGTTTTACGTTTAAAATTGAATTATTCATCACTCATTAATAGTATTTATATTTTGTCGGCCATGTTGTTGTCATGCGTGTGTCTCGCGTGGTCTACGCGAATAATGTTCCACCCCATGTTCCCCAACCTCGTCCCTAGGGCCTTTTGGGAACATGGGGTGGAACATTGTCAAAAGGAACGCAGGCTCGCTAATTGATGACGTAAGGCGTGATATCGCGATTAATTTCATGCTCACGTGGCACAAACTAAGTTTCCTGATTGGACAATTTGAATTCGAGGTATAATATTTAACAATTATTCGCCGAAGGCGAGGTGATTATCGGGAAATATTTGCCGATCGAGACGAAGTCGAGGTAAATATTCCCCGATAATCACCGAGCCTGAGGCGAATAATTGTTTTAGTATTTTTACACAAGTCTTTTGTGTTTTTTTTTGGACTGAATTTATTTTAATTTCGCTTATTTCTTTATCAGTATAACTTTCACAAAACGGCTTGGCCGCCATTTTGAAAATTTCGGTTTTGTTATATTCACCTGTATAGGTGAATATAATAGCTTAATACGTCAAATTATATATACGTCATGTTATATTCACCTGTAGGTGAATATAACAGCTTAATGCGTCAAATTTGACCAATCAACTTGTAGGATTTGTAATGTTCACTTGTGCAAAAATACTAAAACTGTATATCAACACGGAAAGTGTTTTATATTTGTTAAATCTCACGCTGCATTGCGAAATCATGAATTTGAGTGAAATACCGTAAAAAATCACATTGTCACGTGGTACAAATGCTGTTCTTTTATTGGACAATTTGAATTTGAGGTATAATATTTTAAGATACTGTATGATATCCTAAGATACTGTCTGATATCCTAAAATATTGTATGATATCCTAAGATGTTGGATGATATCCTAAGATACTGAATGATATCCTAAGATGTGCCCCCTCATGCGATCTTAATAGTCATGACTATATAGTCGTAATACAAGGGGTCGCACAAGCTATCATGCAGTATCTTAATAAAATATTATTCAGTCTCTTAGATATCAATGATACCTTAGGATATCATACAGTATCTTAGGATATCATACACTATCTTATATGGTAATATCTTAGGATATCATACAATATCTTAGGATATCATGCAGCACCTTAGGATATCATACAATATTTTAGGATATCATACAATATCTTAGGATATCCATACAATATCTTAGGATATCATGCAGCACCTTAGGATATCATACAATATCTTAGGATATCATACAATATCTTAGGATATCCATACAATATCTTAGGATATCCATACAATATCTTAGGATATCATGCAATATCTTAGGATATCCATACAATATCTTAGGATATCATGCAGCACCTTAGGGTATCATACAATATCTTAGGATATCCATACAATATCTTAGGATATCATGCAGCACCTTAGGGTATCATACAATATCTTAGGATATCCATACAATATCTTAGGATATCATGCAGCACCTTAGGGTATCATACAATATCTTAGGATATCCATACAATATCTTAGGATATCATGCAGCACCTTAGGGTATCATACAATATCTTAGGATATCCATACAATATCTTAGGATATCATGCAGCACCTTAGGGTATCATACAATATCTTAGGATATCCATACAATATCTTAGGATATCATGCAGCACCTTAGGGTATCATACAATATCTTAGGATATCCATACAATATCTTAGGATATCATGCAGCACCTTAGGGTATCATACAATATCTTAGGATATCCATACAATATCTTAGGATATCATGCAGCACCTTAGGGTATCATACAATATCTTAGGATATCCATACAATATCTTAGGATATCATGCAGCACCTTAGGGTATCATACAATATCTTAGGATATCCATACAATATCTTAGGATATCATGCAGCACCTTAGGGTATCATACAATATCTTAGGATATCCATACAATATCTTAGGATATCATGCAGCACCTTAGGATATCATACAGTATCTTAGGATATCATGCAGTATCTTAGGATATCATAGAATATCTTAGATAGTAGAACGCCTCAAACAAGTGACGATATAGAGGGTGGGAAGGGGGGGGTATGAATCACG